ACACACTATTTGTGTTTTACTGGTACCACGCTACAACACACTACCTTGCAGAAAAGCACGTGAGAATGATATTTAATGATATATTAATAATACTATTAACTACCAAAATGTAAGTTTTCCATGAAATTATACATTAAATAAACATTCCATTGATAAATTCCTAAATGATTAATTATTGGACCTGTGATTTTGTATATTGCAGTTACATTTTATTAAATGTATTTTGGGCAAAGAATAATGTTTTTGTATGTGTTTGTGTGTCTTTAAATAACCATCTGAATCCAAACACAGCCTCACACTACTGTTACTTTAGAAATTCAGTTTTTAGCAAAAGATATGGAAATGGAAACATTCCTGCTGTGGAAGAATCCACACTTGGTCTGCTAGTTGATATTTCCAGCAGCTCATTATGTACAGTCTTTGTGTCCAGCTAAGCTAACTTTCTGGCTCTACTAGCTTTATGCTAATGGTTTATCGTTTAAAAAGTTAACTCTTCGTTGTAGTGCTCATAAACAATAACAGCAAATCTGCGGAGCTCTACATTAGCATATGTAGCTAATACAATAAAACTGAGAAACTGTACACCTGTTAGCAAGTCACACTGTATCAAATCTGAGAGAGTAATGAAGATGAGCTGTAGCTTAGTGTCCTTACAAAAACAATAACTGTATAAAGACTCTGTCACATGGGTGCACATTACAAATGAACTGTAACAGTCTGTGCCACTCCTATACTTTTACACAATCATGTTGTCAAATAATATAAAATACAGCATATGTATTCTGAATAGATATAGGTTGGTTATATGGACTATGTTTAAAACATTTAAAACAACTAAACAGAAAAATTGCCTAAACCTAGCCACCGAGATCCACACAGAAACAATATAGGGTGAAGTTCTTACCCTGGGACTGCTAAGAGGACTGGAGGACAGACCTGTGGAGGCCCCACTGACTGAACGAGACCTTTCAAAGACAGCAGCAAGTAACACATACGCTCAATCATCAAAAAAATATTCTGGCAGTTTGTAGCTCTAATCTCTTCCAAAGCTGAACACTTTGTTCTCACTTGTAGTTTTAAACAGTTAGTACCTCTGGCTGTATGCATTAGTGTCCAGGGCCCTGCGAGGCGGGGTGGGAGAAACCTGTTCTGTGACACTGAGGACCTCTAAACTCTTCCTCTCTGGACGACTGCGGCCATAACGATTCAGCATGGGGGAGTCAACACGCTTCCTGGGTGGGTCTGCGAAACAAAAATATTTGTGAATTAATTGAAATGGAAATGCAAGAAATAATTAAAAACATCTCTGGACATTTTCAAGAATAAATAGTAGCATGAATGAAGGTTAACATATACATTTAGAGCTTTACATCTTATTTTTTTAAGGTCAGGACGATCTCACCTATGTCATTCCTTGGTGGCAGATCCTCGTCCTCACAGCTGGGGTATCGCTCTTTCCTGTCCAACAGGAGGTAGTAGATCATCTTTTCCTGGTTCTCCCTGCAGAAACAAGCGTAGTAAGGCAGAAATTAAATGCTGGGGGAAAAAAATGTAACAGCCGAAAGGTCAGTCTTTGGTCATCATAAAGACTTTACAAAGATGTTAAAAAAGACGTGCAAGACGATGATGTCTTTGTTTGCTTTCATGGATTGCTAGTTAAAGTTCTACAGTACCTGAAGTGTTTTTGCAGGATTGTGTGCTAGTGGTCATTAAAAAGAAATGACTTTTTTAACCTACCTGTATCTATGTCTAGCTAGCTGGCTAGGTAGCAAACTATATAACTGAGAGAAAGTGGTCATCTTTTGCTGAATCTAATATCTATATGTGAAAAAAAAAAACATGTATTAGAGTAACTTGGTCATACAGTAAGTACATTTTGATGCATAATGTCTAAATAAAGTAGACACACTACTAGCTAACTTTTTTTGCTTGCTTTGGGTCACTTCCTGATTGGGGAAAGTAAGTATTCATTGTTCATGTCAACAAAGTTCAGTGTCAACTCTAAACCTGCCTTTGTGAATTATTTGAAGGTGAGGCAACAAATTAACAAGTTATTACAAACATTAGCAGTTTTGGAAGTCATGTTGCTGCCACATGGATCAGCTAGCTGCTAGCGCCTCTGCTACAGTGGTTGCTAACCCTGTCTGCATGCTTGTAGTATGAAAAACTGCTCCTCCTGCTGTGGCAAGTAAAAGAGCCAGGATATAATAAGGATAAGAATACGAATTATTTTGCACTGCAGACATGTTTCATAAAGCTAAGGACTGCACAGCTGGATAATTATATATGCGTCTAAGAGGATTTTCTGATGGTTTCTCTATATAAATAATTGCACTTTGCTCCTTTTCACTTTTACTCTTATTGTTATTTTGTGGCTTTTTCCCCTAAAATTATTAATACTTGCAACTGAAATATACTAAATCAGAAAAAAAGTTTAGAGATCAGATTAAGGACTCTTTCAAATCACGTCACCTTTAATTCTCCTCCAACTGTAACCAAAGCCGTCCTGCCCACCTGCTATTCAAACCCTTCCAAGGGGCAGCCAATCAGAAGAAAGTTGGCAACAGAAAGGGAGCTTAAATGGCTAAAATAAAGAACAAATGATTCACACTATGTGCAGAGCCACTCCACTCATAGCGGCGACCTTCGAAGGACATTTGAAAATGTACTTTTTGAATTTTCTTAAGTGAATATTCAGGAAATAGATTAACTGTCCAGGCTACCAATTCTTGTTTCTGTTACTCTATATCACAGACATTAAACTGTCATATATCCCATGATGTTGCAATTGTTGCAGGTTTTAAGTAGGGGTGCAACGATATTCGTATCGATATTGAACCGTTCAAAGTTATGACAAATCAGACTATAAGGCAAAAAGAAAGTGCAGCTTTATGGTTTCATGGACAAAAGAATTTCTGTGGCTGCAATATGACGAGCTAAATAACCAGGGCTGCACATAAGTGGTCCGCAGGTGCGCATTCGCTGTCAAAATAAAAAACATGCACAAGGGTTAGGGTTAAATTTAAAAACTGTACTTTTGAGTTAAAATATATATTTATAATTTTAATAAATGACAAATTAAAAAGGCATGAACATTTTTTTTGTATCGAAAAAATATCGAACCGTGACACCAAAGTAT